AACTTATTACTGATTGCAGACTGATTTACTCAATCATATTGTGGTCTACACAACAAAATTGCGTTTCTCTTCTAAACTTGATTACTTTCGAATAACTTAATTCTCTAAAGTGTGCAGCATGCTAGATTAAGTTATGGAGGGTGAATGTGAACCAATCAAGTACTCGAAAATGATTGTTGAAAATGATGTTGACATTACTGAAACTGCGGTACCTAGCATGATTCCGCAAGGAACTTAATGAAGAGAGTAAAAATGTTGAAATTAGGTATTATTTTAAGTGTTTTTGAGCAAGATGAGAGACTTGAAAGTGTTGAATGTTTCATTATGTTGGGATTTAGAACCATTTCAGTTACACTGGGTTACCATTGTGCAGGCTAAGGAACATAATCATTTTTATGCTGCTTTCCTAAAAGGGCATATAATATTTAGCATTTTGCATGCAAATACATGCTATTGCTTGAGCGTTCGTAACTAGTACAGTCTTATAATTTAGTGATGTGAAACCAAAATATATGAAATTGAATAAATGAATATTGTCAGAGAGCCCTATAAAATCACTTTTAGACTACTTAATTGGGTCATTTAAAAATAACTTAATTCCATGATGTTGAAATTATGTTTGTGTAACTTGATTGATTGATGTAGAACCAGTATACATGATTAAATTATGTAAATATAACACATTTTTATTGAGCTTTTTTCTTTTGTTATAATATCCATGCAGCTGTATCACAGAGACATGTTTGGCTTTACGCCACCCAAAAAAATATCAAAATGAATTTTAATTTAAAAGAATTAGAATAGAATTATAAAGGCACTGCATGCCTGAAGTGCATTTTTAATGTATTTTTTAATAAATTATTTGCTCTGGACAAAGAATATCTTTGGTTCATGTGCATCATGTCATGCAAAAATATATCTTCATTTTTTTTTTTTTAAACCCCATTGGCATTTTTCCCTTATTTTAAGCATACACCTCACTATATATTGTTAGACTTATCCTAAAAATAAGAAAGCTAATTTCAAGACATCAAGATATTTTTTTTTCAAGATATATTCTCTGAAAACAATTATATGCAATTAATTTTTCTTACATATTTTTCCTGGAGAACAAGATCAAAATACTAAGAAATTATTTTTACAGTGTAATCCCATAAGGCTCCATATAAAGTGAGTGTGTACGTGTCTAGCTGAGAATCCATACAGGGATGGAGAGTCCAATCTCCTGTGGCCACCCAGCGACTGAGCTGTTAAATAGGTCGACAATGTAGGTCAGGTGTCCTCCTAATGCATGCATGTCTGCACTTCAAAATTCAGATACTACACCTGCCAGCCCAATTTCCTTTATGAAAAAGAATCGCAGTTTATTTTTCTTTACCATTGTTTTTCTGTCACATCTTTGCCATGTCTGTGCGAGTAGGTGTCTACATGCGTGTGGGCATGCTTTCACATCTGTGTGTGTACAAGCATGTAAGTCCAGATCTCAGGAGACCATGTCAGTTTTAGGAAGAATTACACTGCCTGTCAGAAACCCAGACACATTCGCTCACAAGCTCTATTTACACAGAAAGATGAAGTATGGATGAATCTGTCATAAAGCTGTGTTCCCATCATCCCCGTCCTCTGCATCAGGTTCAGACAGGAAATGCAGCATCCCAAACACTGGGAAAGCAGCAATTAGCTCCGTCTGATGGGCACTGCTGGGACTCTTAAACACAGGCTCCAAACAGCCTCAAAAGATCTTTTCGAGGTAGCACGCTTGTTTGCGGGCGTGTATGTTTGCATTCCCGTGTGTGTTCAGAGTGATTATTTTTCAGTCTGAAGAACGAGGCCTGCCAGAAATGGAAGAGTTATATTGAAATGACACATATGCTGCAAATTGCAATCAACTTTTCTATCATGTCTCCAAAGCAGACATTTGAAAGCAGAAGCAAAATCCTCAAGGAGAAAAAGAGCAAGGAGTGAAAAAGGGCTGGTGAGCAGAGGACACGCACAGATCTGGATTCAAATGCGAACCGTTCCTCCGCTTCACTGCTTTTAAGAAAGAAAAGATCAGGCTCTTTATGGTGTGTCCACACACTGTGTGTGTGTGTAAATAAAATGGCATATTAAAGGTTTTATCAGTGCCACAGCTCAGTGCCACAACGGACATGGCTGAGATGCTTCATTCACAGTGTGAAAAGGGTTTAACTCAGCTTGCTCGTTAAGCCTCCTCCACGTCTCTAAATGCACACACATTCACACACACGCACGCACACACACACACGCACGCACGCACACACACACACACACACACACACACACAAATAAACAAGGCTCATTGTGTGAGAGCTGAATATAAAATGTGCTCAGACTGTGAAGATGGGTGTTGTGTTAATGGTGCCATGGGGCAGATTAGATCAGGTTTCGCTTAACCTGATCAAAATGGCTGTTTCATATGAGATGTTTGTGTAATTACTCACATGCATTTTTCTGCCAATTTTTTCTCTTTATTTAAAATATTGGATTTAATGTACTGTTAAGATCAAAAGGTTCTAAAATAGGATAAAATCAAAGAAAGTCACTGTATTACTGGGTCTTTCTTGCAACAGAAAGCTTTTATGCACTAAATGTGCAGTTCATGTGTACAAAGCAAATAGGAAGAGAACTGATAGTATCTCAATGAGGAAGTAATAGTACATAATGTGGGCCATTCTGAGTCTGTAAACATTGTTGCTTTGATATTATGGTCCAGTCTTATCTAATCAATACTAATGTCTTTAGAATGACTTACAATGACTTATTACAAAAAAATATATTATGATGATCATGATCATAAGCAATGGTCACAGTTAATGGCTCTAAAGCAGTGATTCCCACACGTAGGGGTACGTATGAGTAGAAAAGGGAACTTATTTTTGTCAACTTCTTTGGATGAAATGAAACACTATAGTTCAAAAGTTTTAGGATGGTAAGATTAATTAATTAATGTATTTATTTATTTATTTTTGAAAGTCTCACCAAGGCTGCATTTATTTGATCAAAAATACAGTAAAAACAGTAATATTGTGAAATATTACAATTTCAAATATCTGTTTTCTTTATATATATATATATATATATATACTGTATATATATATATTTATTTATTTATTTTATTTTTTATGCATTTTATTCCTGTGATGGCAAAGCTGAATTTTCAGCAGCCATTATTTAATTTTCACACGATCCTTCAGAAATCATTCTAATGTGCTGATTTGCTGCTCAAGAAACATTTCTTATCATTATCAATGTTACTGATGAATAGAAAGTTCAAAAGAACAGTATTTATTTAAAATTGATATCTTTTGTGACATTATAGATGTCACTTTTGATCAATGTAAAGCAGTAAGTGCAGTTGTAAAATAATAGATTCTGTTATTGTCAGCTTTAGTTTGAATCGAAAAGTCTAGTAGTGAGTCTGAATGGTGAGTCTTTTCACCCACAGTATTAACTGATTTTGAATCATTGCATAATACTGGCTATTTAAATAATATTGATGTAAATGATATGCAGTGTAATATGAGCTAAAAGGAACATATCTCATGTTTGGTGTTGAGCCTTTTAAAGCAAGAAAAAAATCTGCTTTAAACATTTATTGAGGTGTCTCAACTTGCCTCTGATAAGTAATATTCACATTTGGGTATCGCACCAGATTGAACTCGTGGGTCAGCGAGGTGGAAAACATTAAAATTAATTTGTGAGTAGACTGAGCCTCATCACATACATTTTTATAATCTCTCAGACAATAGTATTCCTCTCGATGTCTTTCCCAGCAGCTCTGAGCCATGTACTTGCTCTCCACCATCTCACATTGGTTCTGGCAGGGCATGGTATTCATATTTCATATTACACTCGGTTTGTAATTTATTTTCCTTCCCACTTCATTTTGCTCAGTGTGTGATTCAGTCTCTTTAGCCCCATATGCTACCCTCTGGATTATAAAATGAAAATACATAGCGGAAATATTGAATTTAGGCATACTCTGTCAGTCTGTTTTTCGCACTCTTTCAATATCTCCCGCTCTATGTCTCTATCTGTCAAATATGGATGCTGGCAATCTCTCTGCTGCTCTGAGGACACCCACAGAGACAGAAGCTGATTCCTGTCTCAGGCAATGCTGTGGAAGCAGGTTTCTGTGTGTGTTCGTGAGAAAGACACACAACCGGAGTGTGCACAGACAGAATGCTGTCCTTGTTGTAATGTTGCCCTACTCTAAACGTAAAACGGCAATATATTTAACTAATATGTCCAATTTAACTGCCACATTTCTGTCAATGTTGTGGGTCTTGTTTGTTGTTGTTAGGAAAATGAGACCGCTTAACCAAGCCCACAGAATGAGTCACAGCGGGTGTTTTAACGGATGCAAGTGTGTTAAAACTGAAATGGCAAAGATTTAAATAACCTCACAGAGCTGTTTGTTTGTGTCAGAGCTGTGGCCCAGTGAGTAATTCTTTTATGATACATAAATAGAGCTGTTGTGTTCGATTTTGAATGTCCTGATCCTGATGCTTTCCTATTAAAAGCTAATTTGTACTAGGTTAAAGGGATACCTAAAAATAGTCATAATTAGTCATAATTTTCTCTTTTGTTCCAAACCTGTATGACCAAACCTGTTTTTCGCCCGTACAATGGAAGTCAGTAGCCCTATTTGGAGGGGACTAGTTTTCTAAATGACATATAAGTTACAACTCTTATCACACATGCCTTTTTTATGTTCCTCTTCGGATGGGACTAACATTTATAAAGGCAGGTCATGTGTTGTGGTGTGCATCAAATATGACGTATATGCCTTTATATATGTAATTATTTTTGATATAGTTTTAATTATAAATCAACTTCATATGAGTCTAAAGAAGTGGCAGCTTATATTAAACACAAACAGTGCTACTGACACTCTTTGATCCACTCTAACATCTTGCTTAGACAACTTTTGCCCACTTTCATCCAGACCAGCACGCACTACCCCCTCTGCCCCCTGGCTGCCCCCTGGCTGTCCGATGTTCTCCGTGAACATCGCTCTAAACTCAGGGCTGCAGAGAGGAAATGGCGCAAATCAACTCTACTGACCTTAGTGTGTATCAGTCACTCCTCTCTTCCTTCTCTGCAAATGTCTCCACTGCTAAAACGTCATACTACCACAACAAAATTAACAACTGCTTTGACTCTCGCACACTTTTCAAAACTTTCTCTTCTCTTCTCTGTCCTCCTCCCCCTCCTCCTTCATCAACTCTTACAGCTAACGACTTTGCAATTTTCTTCACAAATAAAACAAGAACCAGCAGTGACCAATTCCCCACACCACAAACTGATGATATCTTCATAACGACAAATACACACTCTCCTCCTCCTTCTCTCCACTCTCGGAGACGGACGTTTCCAAACTTTTCAACTCAACCTTACTAAGACAGAACTGCTTGTGGTTCCAGCAAACCCATCGTTTCATCACAGCTGCTCTATACAGCTGGGTTCATCAACCATAACTCCTTCCAGGACAGCCAGAAACCTAGGAGTTGTCATCGATGATCAGTTAAGCTTCACAGACCACATTGCTACAACGGCCCGGTCCTGCAGATTTGCCTTATACAACAAGATTAGACCCTTCCTGTCAGAGAAAGCCACACAACTTCTTGTCCAAGCTCTTGTTCTCTCCACACTGGACTATTGTAATGCTCTCTTGGCGGGCCTTCTATCTTCTTCTTCGATGCACTATCAAGCCTCCGCAACTGATCTAGAATGCAGCAGCGAGAGTGGTCTTCAATGAGTCAAAAAAAGCTCACGTTACTCCTCGCCTCATCAGGTTGCACTGGCTAAACTCGCTAGTTCAAACGTATGTGCCCTCCAGAAGCTTGTGTTCTGCAAGTGAACAGCGCCTTGTGGTGCCATCCCAAAGAGGCACAAAATCACTCTCACTGACCTTTTCCTTGACTGTACCCAGCTGGTGGAATGACCTCCCGATCTCAGTTCGAACAGCTGAGTCTTTAGCCATTTTCAAAAAACATCTAAAGACAAATATTTTTCGCCAGCACCTGACCAACTAATACTAGCACTTACCTATTCTATTCTGTTCTATTCCATTCTATTATTTAATAAAAAATAAAATAAAAAACCTAGCTACGTGTACTGTGCTAGACTAACTGAGACTTGTCATGGCACTTGTATACTGTTGTTCTCTCGCTGGTCTGATTGCTTCTATTGTTCTCATTTGTAAGTCGCTTTGGATAAAAGCGTCTGCTAAATGATTAAATGTAAATGTAGTGAAAGTGAAATGTGGCCAAGTATGGTTACCCATACTAGGAATTAGTGCTCTGCATTTAACCCATCCTAAGTGCACACACACAGCAGTGAACACACACACACCGTGAACACACACCCAGAGCAGTGGGCAGCACATTATGCTGCGGCACCCGGGGAGCAGTTGGGGGTTCGGTGCCTTGCTCAAGGGCACCTCAGTCGTGGTATTGAAGGTGGAAGAGAGCGCTGTACATTCACTCCCCCCACCTACAATCCCTGCCGGTACGAGACTCGAACCCGCAACCTTTGGGTTACGAGTCCGACTCGCTAACCATTAGGCCACGACTTCCCCAAAATGTAAACATGTAAATATGCAAATATATTACCTTACCTTACCTTACCTTACTGGGTTGAGTTTGCTGAAAAATAGTAGGTAATTTGCAATGGAATTTTTATAGAGGTTGTGTGAGAAAAACACAGACTTGGCTGATGGGATTAAAATCTCAAAGTAAATCTTTGGCCCAATTCACACGGTAATTGTTTCTCATGGGGACGTCTGTAAAAATACATTCGCATTGATAAAACCCATAGATTTGGATGAAAATGTATTCTCGGTGGAAAATAAATTCTGTGAAACCTACAAATACAGAAATATGCTTCTCACATGGTCAGTCACATATTCAGAATGTTGCGGAATTTATTTCAGCATTTATTTATCTATTTATCTATTTATCTATTCATTCATTCATTCATTCATTCATTCACTCGTTTTATTTAATAATAGGGACACTGATGCACTATGGTTTAAATGGTTGCATTTGAATTGACATTTTATCTCTCATAATGAATAAAATGGCATTTTATCTCTCATAATGATAGAAGCAACCTTTTATTTACATGGCAAACATTTAACTATTTGGTCAACTAGTAAAATGATTAGTTGTGCAAGCCCTAATGTATATAAGTACATATTTTTTAATTGTATTGCATACTTGTTGCTGCCGTAAAAGTGGCCAATTTCTTTTTTTTTTTTTCTTTTTCTTCTAAACAGTTCCCACTCACTGTAGTGGAGCAGTGACATTATTCCTGTAAACAGTTTCCAATATTTCAGTCATAAAAGTGTTCATACTGTATGTAAATGCATGTACATTACTGCAAAGCACAACAGTTATCATACAATGCTTGGCAGTGGTCAGTGGTTCTTGTAAACTCAGAGACGTGGATTTGGACAACCTTGTGTTTATCAAAAAACAGTAATTCGGTCGGGGTTTTGCAGGGAAAAAAACACCAATATTCTGAATTCAGACGGAAATAAAATCAGCAACTAGCCTCCATAAATGTCGAAATTATGTTACGTCCTCATGAGAAACTATTACTGAATAGGGCTTTTCTCTAACGTCCTCCAGGAAAGCTAGTTCAATCCGAATAGGTCTAATAGTAACCAAAACTGTTTGGTTACCAACATTGTTCAAAATATCTTCTTTTGTGTTCCACAGAGGAAAGAAACTTTTTTGAAACCTCTAATAAAGTCTCAGAACCATAGAGCCTTATTTTATCACATTGAAAATGAGTTGAGACTTAATTTAAGTGTGTTATTGTGTATTTCTGTGCGCATTCCTCTGGGTTTTCAATTTGCAGCTCCTAAAATTGATGTGACAATCTTATTTCTTGTACAACACCCCAGGTGTGTGTTGGTTCAGGGTGGAGGTCACACACCTTTCAACCTAACCAGCATAATTAGCAAGCGAAGTGTGAGGAATAAAGCAAGCTGCACTAATTCTATTAGGCAGCCAGTGCTGCCAATTACCCTGCATGAGAAACCTGATCAGACCACACCTGCCCCTTCCTCCTGCTCTTCCTCTTTTATCTGAGATATTACACAAGGCCCTAATAGTTAATCAAAAACATCTTTAAGGGTCTTTGAAAACTAGGACGTGAGCCAGTGCTGGGGAGGCTTTTTTTTTTTTTTTGGAGACAACAGCAAATCAGATTTGATTGCATGTCAGCATGTTAATTCGTGTATCTGTGCATCTAGGTGGCATCTCGTTGTTCCAGCAGTATTAATGACAATGATCTGATTCCAGCGAGCCTTGCTTGACTGAGCGTAACCCACGTAATGTGGAAGCCTGACAACACAAAGACTGTGATTGTGAACATCTCTTCAAAGTTCCAAGATCAACTGAAGCTATGAGCAGCAGCTCATCGTGTTTGATATGCACAGTACAGTCTTAACAGCTAGTTTTCCTTGGTACCTCTGATGTGGGATTTCTCTTGTTAGTTTGCAATGAAAGGGCAAAAGTTTATGCTCTGAGAGGTGATCGAGCCGTCGAGGTGCTGTCTGACTCAGCCTGAGCTGTTAGAGATGGACACAGGGTGCAGAACTGCCATGCTAGGACTGGATTTTCAGGCCTGGATGTGGACAGACATAGAGAGAGAAATGGTGTGGAGGTAAAGTTGTTGAGTGTTCCTGACATACTCCATCAACAGATGTCACTTTTCATGGGCATCATGGTTAGTAGTGGAAATGCTCCTGCAGCATATCCAAACACACACCCACACACGCACGCACACACACTTACAGTTAAGCCATTGATATATAACAATGCTTATACCTATAAAGTGTTAATAATCATTCTAATTCTATGAGAATAGGGAAGTCCAGACCACAACTATAACAATAATGACACAGAGGCACAGCAATGCTGGAATGACTTTCAGAATGATTTGTTCCAGCTGATAAAGCGATAAAAACTTTGGGAGTCAGTTAGAATCCACCCGACTTTACAGAGTTCTGAGCAGACGTCATAACATCAGTGTTTGTTTATAATAACATTATCATCCGCCGGTGTGGATGTTAATATAGTTATAGTTATAGTTATCATTATTGGTGTAAACGGGCCTGAGTGGATGCTTTTCAGATTGCCTGATCTGGGACTGAATCAACCAAAAAATATGGTATTTGTCTAGTCCTATCAACTAGCACATTCTGTGAACATATACTCATATACAAGGTGTTCCATTTCTCATTTTATCACTCAAATGGGTGCTCACAAATAGCCCCTTTGTGGCCACTGGTGCTGACAGAGTATCTGATAATAAGTGTGGATTCAGAACTTGAAAAACTAACGAAAGAGTCTCTAATACAGTATAAACTCTTTTTTAGTGCATTTACATTGTTATGCCAGTGGATGGTGACAGGAGACTGTCTTTAAATGTATAATTGAATCATTAATAGAACCGATTTGTCACTATCAAGTCACTGTCTTTATGAACAAATCACTGAATCATTCATTCCACTGATTCATTCAAAAACGCTAATTCATTCGGGAATGAAATAAGTAAATGGCTTTGTGTCTGAGTCATTGAATCATTCATTCAAACAATGATTCATTCAGGAAGAAACACCACTATTATGTGTTGTGCACATCAGAGCTGCCATGGTTTAGTTCGGATATATTTGCTTTGGTGAAGCAAAACGGACAGCGTACCCAGCAATAATGTACCTAAAATGTAAGTCGCTCAGTATTAACTTTTTATTTAACTTCATCACTTGTGTAAAAGCTGTATCATATTTACAGTTGTGCTGTTCTCCCTTTCTGCATTTTTGTGTCTAAGGCCGAATCACAGGTGTGTTGACATTTGGAATTCAGGCAATTTATTTATTAAATAATTAATACAGTATAGAGATGTAAAGAGAGACACTAATAAGATGATTGAGAAAGGGGAAAGTTGTTAAGTTTTCAGAAAGCCATGTCATGGCAAGGCAATGCAAACGCATTGATCAATGTCAGTCTTGTGCATTTTTGCATAGAAAAACAAGGGCAAA